GCGCGCAAGAACAGCGAAACGCAAGAGAGACTTCGGATACTTGCGCATTCACGTCTCGCGATAATTGCCAACCGCGGTCTAATTGCGAATGTACCTACAATCGCCGCGTTTCCCGCGGCGGTATCAGTACCGCGGATCGTACGTGTTCGCGCACATCGATCCGATGCGTGCGACAAATGCCGGACCGTTAATAATTTGCGCGCACGCGACGCGCACCGGAGAGATATCTCTCTCGGTTATTATTATTCGTTTCTCTTCTCCCCTCCCAGCCCGTCCTTCGTGCGGTCGGAAGAAATTCGGATTGGAGTCGGAGAGTATTATCCGATCATCGGAAAATTCGAAGGAGAGCAACCGGCGCGGAAATTCTCTTTATGCGCGGAAAAGACTTTTCCGTTTCACAGCCCGTTAACTCGCCGGGTTTTAGAGACAGAATCACTTCCACGTCGTTTTGGCAACAACCGGCGCCGTTTTACATCGCGCAGTTGTTTTTTTCCGATGACAACGACGACGACGACGACGACGACGACGACGACGACAACGACAAGATAAACAGATTGAGCAATTCATTCGAACGATCCGCGGAGAATACACGCGCGCACAGACAAAATGTGAAATGGAAGGGGAAAGGGGGAGGGAAAAAAATTTCGTTTATCTCCACCTGGACTGGAAAAAACGAAATATTTTGCTTTCCGATTTATTTTAAAACAATAAACGTGTTATTGTTATAAAATAAAATATTTCGTCCTTGTTTTCGCGGGTCGAAACACAAATATCGGATTAAAACGAGCACCGAATCCCTTTTGTTTGTTACGATAAACTCCCCCCATATGTGTATAATTTTATATATACGTAGACACACACTATAACACGTCTACAGCAGTGCGCGTATTTACACACGCAACCTGTCAAATTCCTTCTATCGAGGGAGTAAACGCGTCGCGTATTTGTTTGACACGGTATTCCTTCTCGATATCCTCTCGTCTCGAACGCTCGCAAGAGCATTAAAGTAAAGCTCACGAAGTAGCTCCTCATCATCCGCTGGCGAATTTTCAGGTAGCGACGAAGCGTGAAATTAGCGAGCCGTTCTATCAGAGCTACACGCCCTCGTGTAAGCTAAATAGTTAAACGTGTGTGTCGGGGACGGGGGCGCCTCTGCGCGCGCGCCCAGGCTCAATTGGATGAAAAGCAGAAGGTGAAGCAATTAAGCGGAAGCGTATAGGATCGGGTCTAACGAGTACATTATTACCTTGTAACGAGTGTAAAGATGGATTTTAATTATTTCGAATAAACGAGAAAAACCCGGGGCAGCCGCCCCGGACGCGAAAATTCCTTTTCCGGAAAAATAACACGAACAAGGAAAACAAACCAGGAAAGAGAGAGAGATCAATTTCGCCGGGTCGTTGCTAAGTATCGACTTTATGCGCGACTATTACGTTTCTCATGCGTGCGTTTTCCCGCGAGACAACATCGCGCCCGTGTACAACCCCGGGCGACCGGGAACAAATAGAACGCGGTATAAAAAAAAAAAAAAAAAGTCGCATTCATTTTCCCGCGGTCTCTTACGACCGCGTCGTAAAGTCGCTGATTTAAAGACGACGCGCGCGAAAAGTAATGCGCTTTAAAGTTTAATCATCGTGGGATGTAACTTTGCGGTAACGACGAGTTCTCTTCGCGCGCACGCACCTGGTTACATTTCCATAAAAAAAATTTAAAAAAAAATAATAAAAAAAAAAAAAATACGCATAGTCGCGCGAATTTCGACGTTACTCCTCGAGGACACAACGAGGACGCGTCGAATCAATTATCGATCTGCTTTCCGTATCGCCGTCGTCGTCTTGAGCTCCGGCGCGATCGATCGATTCGCGAGTTTCCTCGCGGGGAACGGGCAATTTATTATCAAGGGCAACGTACCCTCGCGCCATTTGCAACTCATTTCATCGCCTGCCATCTGCGACGGCCGCTACGAAGACCGTGTAATCGCCCGTTCTCGCACACATCGCCGCGAAAACACACGAGGAATTTATGGAGCCGCTGCTGCGCGTCGTCGTCTTTTGCGCGCGAGACGTGTTGCCCATTCGAGAGGAATTTATATCGCGATTGGCTAAGAAATTCCTTTGAAGGAGAAACACACACCGCGCGCCTTTGTAAGATGTAACTCTCTCTCTCTATCTATCTCTTTCTCGTGTTCTATGTAATTAAGAGAGAGAAAGAGAGAGATAGAGAGATAGAATTTGCCTAATACGTTCTTAAATAATGAAATATCGCGCGCGTCTCTCTCCGCTTGGATGGAGATTACAGCGTTGCGCGGAAGCTGCTGCGCGATTTAATTAAATATTGACTCGTTAAACGCGCGACGACGTGTAAGCGCGCGTGAAAGTGGAGTGCAATTTAATTAATAATAGAGAATCCGTACAAAAATATCCGTGTATTTCCGTTACAAGTATTTGCGTATTTCGTTGCAAAATGGCGTTTTAAACGATTCGTTCTAACGGGCGTTCTGTGTAGCGCGCGCGCGCGCGCGCACGTTCGCGCTCGGAGTGTGTTTTATTTTTATTCGCGCGATATAATATACACGCGCGAAATGTATGATGTAACTGGAAAATTAACGAAGCCTCATCGCGCAACAATCAAGAGCATTGCTGCTGGTTGTTACGATTGTGATTAAAAATCGCGCTTCGTAATAACAATCCTAATATTTGTTCTGTTTGATAAACGGTTTGTAACAATGGCCCGCATTTCAGCACGTATCTACTTACAACAGGTGTTGTATTGTTTTTTAAAATTATTATTATTATTATTATTATTATTAGTATTATTATTATTAGTATTAGTATTAGTATTATTATTATTTCCGCCGCGCGCAATATTTTACGTCAAATAAACCGTCGCATCATATTCGATAACGAGTAACGTCGGAGCAAATATGAAATGGGAATGAAATTTACGACAAACAATAGCGAAATTCGCTGCGATTAATTACACTTTGTTTTTTGTTTCTCTCTCTTTTTTTTTTTTTTTTTTAATCTGCGCGTAGGAAAAACGCGTGTTTCGAATTGCGAGATAATGCGAGTTTTTTCTATTACAGCATGCGTGCGGTTAACGCAGTTAAGCATATATTTTGAACGAGGCTTTTTCCCCTTCCTCCCCCAGAGAGAGGGATAGTCACAGAGTTTTTAATGAAATTGTTCGCGCTGATGAGAGTAACGAGCATCATAAGGACTATCGTACATAACGTGCGTGAAGCGTACGACAAAAAAAAAAAAAAAAAAACAAGCTCCGGAACACGAACGTGTTCCCGCGCTAGTTTTATTTATTTATCCTCTTTTTATATTCTTCGTCAGTAATTTCGTTGCGACGATGTGATTAAGGTTCTCGCATGTGGTTTTCGCAATGTCACTTCAGCCAAAGTAATTGCAGAAACAAAACGCGTGTATATACATACGTACAAAGCGCATGTCTCTTACAATTCTCTAAACCGTACTTCTTTTATTTAAATTAATGATAATTTTTCTGACGGTGTCTTTTTTTTTTTTTTTTTTTTTACACACAAAAACGATTTGTGTGTAAACAATTTCTCTAAAAATGCAAATCTATTTATAGAATTGAATAGCATCGCGCGTGCGCGCACACACGTTTTGAAATAATTTTACAAACAGATCCAACATTGTGAAAAAAAATAAAATAAAATAAAAACATCATCGTTATAATCCGATGCGGATAACAGAACAGTGAAATTAATATCGCGCACGATTGTGCGTCGCGCGCGCGTTGAACACGACAATGTCTCACATTTGATAGAGAGCTATTTTTCGAATTGTCGAACAGAGCCGAGCTGTCGCATATCAAACCGAATTCAAAGCGCTGATAAAAGGCTCACAGTCTCTTTTCAGGACTTGGCCATTCATGCCGCGCGGAAAATTCTTTCAGATTGAAAACTCGCGAATCGCGCGCGCCCCCAAAGAGAGGAGAGAATATTTGAGATTGCAAGAGTATATGAATGAGGCTCGCACAATCACCCAGGCCAGGTGGTGCGCCTGTCGCCGATAAAAATTGCGACGAATTTGACTCGCGCCGTAATTACATGTTCCGTGCGCGCGATAAAAGTCGCGCGAGGTCGTCAGTGTCGTTGGTGTAATTTGACGCAAAAACATAAAACGCATCGATCTCTTTGCGCGGTTTAATTTTAATTAAAGTAATTTAAGTTTTGTTTAAACTTGTTGCGCAAATCACGTATTTACGATTGCGCGTTTATTCGACAAAGCGGAATTGCATTTCTCAAGATGAGCAAGTGCCCGCAAATCGAGACAGTCTCGCGAAAATCGAACTTGGACGCTCGCTTTGTCTTCCTCGACTTAAGAGTGATCAAGCACTCTCGACATTCTCTACCGTTATCTGATCGCGCGACCCGAAGCTTATTTCGCTTCATTTGTCGATCTCAGTCGATGTTCCATTACACACCGCAAGCGCGCTCTCTATCTCTCTATCTCTCTATCTCGCTCTTTCTCTTTCTCTCTCTCTCTCTCTCTCTATCTATCTATCTCTGCCTACGGCTCGTCGGATTTGAGAAGCAACGACCCGTTTCGTGAGATACGGTGCCACGGCATTAGCGACCACTCGGACGTCCCGCCAACTAGTGAACTCTAATTTGCGGTCCCCACTAATTGAGGAACGATACGCGAGAGCTGACGTGATTGCATCGCCCGACAAATGAAGAGATTCCCAGATGCGACAGGGTCTCGCGCATTAACAGAGAAGATGTAACGCGCTAACGATATTAACAACTGTGTGGAGCAAGTTAAATTCAACGACGGCTGCAATTCGAATTGCAATTATTGCGACGCGCAAGATATTCGCTATTGTATATCTCTCTTGTACATTTCTGATATAAATTCTTTTGACACGTTCGTTATAGTAGTTTCGTTCGGCAAATGTGCGTTACGGACTGTATCGGTTTTTTTATACGTCGTTAAAAAAAAAAAAAAAAAAAACAAAATACTCACCTGGTGTGACGAGGAGCGCGATGCCAAAGAGCAAAGCTCTCGCCGCCATTTCCACGATTCGTCGGAAGTCCCCGCGACACCATCTTAACCGATGCCTCTTCTCTTCATCGTCGTCTTCCGCTTCGTCGTTCTTACTCGCGTTCTTGAACAGGCCCAGACAAAGCCGCAGCTTCCGGTACACCGCGCCGATCCCATCCGATTCGGGCATACGTCGCTTCAGAGTCTCCTTTTTCTCAACCGTTTCGCTCTCCTGACATCTGTAAGGCCGGCAACCTGTGCAGGTGGGCTGACCGGAAGCGAGAACCGCTTCGTGGTCAGTCCTCCTAAACATAAAATGTTTTTTTTTTTTTTTTTTGACTCTTTAATTTGTAATAATTAATAAAACATTTAATATGTAATTGATAAAGCACATTTAATATATATTTCTCTCTGTATCAATGAAAAATATTAAAAATATTATTAATAAAATTTAATATGTAATTTATATATTAATTTCGTCTACTATAGAAACAAAGTAGATAAATTTTTATTCTCCAATACAAGTAGATGAACTGTTTTTATTTTGTTTTGATTTTCACTTTGCGCATTTTTCATTTTGCACCGCGTAAGTAAAAAGTAGAGACACGCACGGCTGACTCGGGCGTCACTTGCGGCAAATGGATTACATTTCCACAGACATCCGTGATCACTTACCTGTCCTCGTGGTCGTCGCAGGCGGCGGTCTCCTCGGTAGCATGATAGCCGTCGTGCCTTAGGGACCGAAAAGCCTGCGAACAAGTTCCGCCAGTGCACTGGAACTCGAGCCTTCGCCGGAGGTCCGTGGCTTGTAGCCCTCCTCCGCCCCCCATACCCCCGCTCCCATAGTACCTGCGGGCATAAGCGGTCGACGCCCGTTATAACTATAGCACACGCAGCCGTAACAATCGCGGCTGGCCGGACTCTGTCTCTCTAATATCCGTAGGAGGCGAGCCACGGCCGGTAAATGACACGTCGCTCAATATGTCGCATAAAGCAGAAGTACCAGCGAGCAAGGAGCCGTGAAGTTATTGTACACGTGCTGCGGATAGAGGCGGGTTCGCGGCGCGAAAACGACGATGAATAACGGTTGAGAATTGTTAACTTCAGATATATCGCGTAATTTAATCAACATTTACAGTGATCGTTTATATACGCACAACTAGCAGATGTGCAAATACAGTTTTGTATACGTAGATTTTTTGTAAATCTTGTAATTTTGTAGATTAATACGCTTGAAAATTCGAATTGAAACTTCAACTCGAAAATTCATCCAAGATGTTTAATTTCTCCTATGTAATAAATTATTCATTTTTAAAGTTCACCGTTGAACGTTTATAAAATTAAGAATTGAGAAAACATTCGCGTTTTACGAACATTTCGATCATTTATTCTTTAATTGTGAAAAAAAAGAAAGAGTCAGCATCTAACTTCCGCGTTTAACATGGAAAAAGTAAAGAACGTGGATTAATTCGGATAGCTTTTACGTAAGTGGGACTGAAATTAGATAACGCTTGGCACGCGCTTTAAAGCAAAAATCCGATTTGTGTGCTTTTGTCTTTGTTGCACGAATGAAATCTGCTTACTCTTGCCGCTCCGCCACCACTACCGCTGCCCGGATCTTGCGCCCCCGGTGCTGATTTTTACGAGCCTCGCCACCTCCTCGCCCTTCTCAACAGCCACTTTAACCCCCGCAACGTGTCGCTCTCATCACCTGAAACATAAAAGAACACATTCATCAGCATCGTCGCTAATTGGGAACTAAAAAGAACGCTTTATCCGAAGCCGCGAAAAGAAAAAAAAAAAAGAAAAAAGAGAACGTGTCGTTACCCGATGATTATTAATGACGATAATCTCGTCGTTCGTCATTAATTATTGCGCACTCGCTGATAAATCATTATTTGATGCATTTGCGCACAACTGTTTAGTATTCCGCGTGAATATAAACTAGATACTCTTCGTACATGTAATAATCATTAGCGTGTACATATATATACATAAATATATATATGTATATGTATATATAAATATATATATATATATATATATATATTTATGTATATATATACACGTCGAGAAGCGTATACACTACGTGTGTGTGCGCGCGCGCGCGTGCAAGACGCGAAATGAATCCTTTAGGCGGATAGTTGAAATTCCATGTAGGCGAAACATGAATCGATTCGATTAAGCAACACACGTGCTCAGATACAAGCTTGATTGATTCAATTTGAGTTCCGGCTTCTGCGAACGGAGCAGAGCTTAGACGAAGCTCCGAAGATGGACTGATAATTGTATCACGTTCCTCGGGCTGTGCCACGTGACCTGGCAGGTGTAAAGATGGATTGGCGCAAAATGCTCTTTCTCTTCTTCTGTAGATCTGAGAGAGAGAAAGAGAGAGAGAGAGAGAGAGAGAGAGAGAAATTAAATATTTCCAAACTTCAAAGAATGCGGAACGTGGAATTCTATTAGTCGCTCAAGACTCAATTTGAAGTCTTTGTGATGCTTCAGTTCTATTTTAAGCAAAAAGAAATGCCCGCATCTGCGTACCGCGTGTACCGCGTTTATTTCCAGGTCGGATATAAATTGCCTGCACATATGTGAATTCGATTTTATCTCAAATGAAGCGAGAGAGTATCTGCGCACGCAAGTATTTTTAACGCTGTTTTAACATATGAAAAATGTTTCAATAATTTGACGTAAGTGCATTCAATAACGCGTGATTATGAAAGTAACGCGTATTGGAATTGTAAATTAGCGGCGATTGCATTTGACGCTGCAGTGCTTAACTTCCACATGGGAAACGGTCGCGATTTAATGCAAATTATATTACGATATATATATACACATACATATACGATATATTACGGTCACGAAATATATAATGGCGCGCGCGCGGGTTCACGAACCTCCCCCGCCCTCCCTGTGCGAGTTATTTATCGTGCGTCAATACGCGAAGATTTTGCCTCATTCAAGGCACGTTCGTGTAATACTAACTCTGACGGGAATTACGACCATTCTGCCCGATAAAACGATCGCTCTCTCTCTCTCTCTCTCTCTTTCTCTCTTTCTCCGCTCCCACCGATGTGAGAGACCAGGTGCGTATTAGATAGAAGTACTTCCCTCTCGGTGATTGCACCGCCGTGCCTATGCGGAATGAATGATGCGCGCGATGAAACGCGTTATTCGAAGTTATTAATGGAATGTGTGTGTGTGTGTGTGTGTGTGTGTGTGTGTGTGTGTGTGTGCGTGCGTGCGTGCGCGCGCGCGCGTGCCATTATATATTTCAGTAATAATATGTTAAATTTTTAAATGAGCAGAACAGAATTATTGTAAATTATTTAGCGGCAAATGCATAATAAAGTGCTTAAATAATTACAAGTTGTGGAATTGAAATAACAAGCACATTGAAATTGTTTAATTGAGAAATAAAGAGCAAAAAATTTCTGTTAATTATGTTTTATTACGGTTTATTGTTTAGTACTCGCGCGCGACTTCAACAAGAAAGAGAGAGAGAGAGAGAGAAAGAACTAAGATTTAATTTTTGCATTGTACACGAGCAAGTAATATGGTAAAAACATTCTGCGCAGAGTAATTTGCGAGCGAAAATATCGCGGTAAGGTATTACGCGATACCGTAAGCTCAGAGCGGCTTTTATTTACGATCAGCGTCGACTAGTAATGACGCAACATCAATCAGGTGCTGTTGCTCACTCGGAGGCTGAGCCAGATGTAAGATTAGACGTTTCCTTCATCCAGAAGAGCAAGAGACGAAGTTAAAATTTTCCGCGCGTGTCAACAGATAACAACGTTCTCTTTGTATTGTTTATCGTTTATGTCTCTCTCTGTATTGTTTGTCGTTATTTATACACAGTAAATTTTATATTAAAATTTACCGCACAAGTTGCACTTATTGTTTTAGTCGCAATATAATTTATAATTTTTTGATAAGAGAAAGAATATTTGTTGTGCGTTACATCATAAAGTTACTGAGTTAACAAAAATGTAAAATTTATTTATATCCATTATATCATCTTTGTTTGTTAATATAGTTTGAACAAAATAACGTCTGATTGTAATGTTATATTAATATTCGGGCAAGTTTGAAAATAAGTTACGAAGTAATTTTTTTCTAAACAGCAAGAGTGATTTAATATCTTGTATAGAATATACCTTTTGACATTGAGAAATGTTGCAAATAAGTTTTTAAATATTTTTAACTATGTTTTAAATAGTTTAAAAGTTTTTTAAAAATATTTAGCTTATCGATATTTTTCCCCATTCCCATTGCGGTCGTTGTTTTGATATTTTTTTTTTTTTT